TCATTTAATCCAATCATTCTCTCCCTTTTGATTACTCTTCCTATACCTATTTCGACATTACAATCACTTACTTATTTTAAAAAATTGTGAACAAGTCCTGGAGTGGAACTTGAACCCAGCACCTCATGACGACCACCCTATGATATTAATGCAACATTAAGAAGTTATTATTCTACAGGAGATTTAATTGGCAATTCAGAGACTTAAAAATAACAACGAGACAAAGAGTGAGAAGCTGTTGGTATGAAGCAAAATGGTTGAGTGACCAACACCAAAAGACAAATTCTTGAGATTTGCAATCCATTCCTCATTTCTTAATCCTTGAAATTTGCTTGTTGATTTACAGATGAACACAGCCTTATTTTTCCTAGCTTGATGGCAATGATGGTGTGGGAGATATGCCAGGCCATTAAGTTGCAGACTGTGTTGGAGTATGATTCTGCTCTCCTGATGGCCCACAGCACCTCATGGATGCCCAGTCTTCAGTTGCTAGATCTGCTCAAAGTCTGTCCCATTCAGCAAGGGGATAGGGCTAAACAGCATAATGAAAGGTATTCTTGATGTGAAGATTGGAGTTTGTCTCCACAAGGACTGTGCAGTGGTCACTCTTACTGATACTGTCACGGTTGGCAGATTCATGACGATGAGGTCAAGTTATGTTTCTCCCATTTTTTGGTTCGCTTAGCAGCTGCTGCAGACCCAGTCTAGCAACTATGTCCTTTAGGATCTAACCAGCTCAGTGAGTAGGAACGCTGCTGAGCTACTTTTCATGATGGACATTAAAATCTCTCAACCAAGGTCTATTCTATATCCTTACCATCCTCAGCTTCCCCCAAATGGAGGAGTATGGATTCATCAGGTAGCTGGGACTGGTATGTGGTAATTAGCAGGAGATTTCCTTGCTTATGTTTGACCTAATGCCGTGAGACTTCATGGAGGGTGGAGTCAATGTTGAGGAATTCCAGGGAACACCCTCTCAACTGCATGCTACAGTGCATGACCTCTGCTAATGTTAATGGTGTTGTCTGGGACTTTGTGTGTAAGGTGTGGTTCCATGACTCAGATTGTTGCTTGACTAGTCTGTGAGACAGCACAATTTTGGCACTAGCTCCCACTTGTTAGTAAGGAGACTTTGCAGAGACTAGAGGGGCTACCTTCACTGTTGAAGTTTCCAACACCTTAGTTGATACCAGGCGGTCTTTCTTTTGAGAGACTTAGCAGATGATACAGCTGACTGGCTTGTTAGTTATGAATCAAGCATATTGCTGTGGGTATATAGTCATGTGTAGACCCAAACAAGTATGGATGGCAGTTTCCTTCTCCATATAGGGCATTAGTGAACAAACAACAAGTTTCACAGTCATCATTATACTCTTATAGAATCCAATTTCCACCATCTGTCAAGGTAGAATTTGAACCTGGATCACCAGAACTGAACTAAGACTCTGGATTACTAATCCAGCGACAATATCACTGAACAATGTCTTCCCAAAACTTGTTATTTATTCCTCAATCAACAAAAGAAACAGATTACCAAGTCATTATCCCACTTCTGTTTGACAGAACCAGCTGTTTATAAACTAGTTGCCACATTTTCTACATTACAATAGTCAGTACACTTCAAAAGCACAAAATTGGCTTTAAACTGTTTTCAACTGTCCTAAAATAATTGAAGGCAAGATAAAAAAAAAAATGTTCTGGACACTAGAAAAATCAAAACATAGGGCAGGAAAGTGAATTTTGTAACAGATTGGCCTTGTAAGACACTCAACTCATGGGCAATTAGGAATGGGCAATAAATGCTAGTCCAATAACCAATACCCACATTGATGGAAAAAAAAAACCTTGTTCTGACCAACCAAGGAGGGGGTGAATAAAGGAGTGCAACCAGCTGAGAACTTGACAATTTGGGCTACCCTGCCTGGAAACATCATAACTCAGGAAACTTTGTCCAGCATTTGGTCATACACTTTCCAGATGAAATTGCTGGAAAGTGTTAAGTCCAGATATCAAGCAAATATACACTTTTTTCTCACTCCTACTTTTTTGGTTAATCTATCTAATTGTTCTACCACTTTTTCCTAGACCCTTTTATTATTACTTTTGTACTGTTCAATGAAAACAAACATTATCTTTAGTATTCCTCCATCTTCCCATAGTATGTCCTTTCTCATTTCTAATTAGCCCCACACTTTTAATCTTGGTTATAAAATCTTGTATTTTTTGTGTCACTGGTAAAATTTTTATACCCCTTCTCAGCTTGTTTGTTTTAATGTTTTAACCCCCATTATTTGATTGATATTTTCTTTTCTATCATTGTTATAAATCAATGTCTTTTTTATTCATACCTGGGAATATGAGCACTTCTGGAGAGGCCAATGTTTACTGCGCAGACTCAATTGTCTTTAAGAAGGTGGAATGACAATCTACCATGTTAAACTGCTGTGGGTCTATACCTTGCAGGTACACCAATGGTGCCATTAGGGAGGAGTTTAAGATTTTGAACCAGTGACAGTAAATGCATGGCAATATAGTTCCAAGTCAGCATAGTGTGTGGCTTGCAAGGGAATTTGCAATTGGTGATGTTCCCATACATCTGCTCTCCTTGATCTTCTCAGTGATATTGACCCAGCGACAGTGAAGGAACAGCAATATATTTCCAAGTCAGGACAGTGAGTGGCTTGAAGGGGAACTTGCAGGTGGTGGTTTTCCCATGTATCTGCTGCCCTTGTCTTTCTAGATGGATGTGGTCATGGACTCAGAATCCCTACAGTGTGGAAACAGGCCATTCGGCCCAACAAGCCCACACCGCCCCTCTGAAGAGCATCCCATCCAGACCCATTGCCCTACCCTAGCATTTTCTATGTCTAACCCGTCTAACCCACCTAAACTGAACATCTCCACACAGAAGTCACCTGAGGGTGGAATCAATCCTGGGTACCTGGTGCTGTGAGGCAGCAGTGCTAACCACTGAGCCACCATTATGCTTAGATTAGATATGAAAGTTGGCTAATGTCTTGCTCCAAAATAGCTTAGAGCTAAAGTAACATACTTAATTTTTGAGAAAACGTTGAGTTTCAATTTGTTTGGGACAAGATTTTTCTGCCTTCCGAGTGCAGTAATTGCTTTTTTAGACAGAAAAATACAGATTATGGAAACACTTTCACCTCAGCCTACCCATTAAAGAGATTTGCCTTTCAGTTTTGTAATGTAAGCAGCTGTATCATGTTCAAAAGGTGTGTTAATAACTTCAAAAAAGGTCATTTTGGAGGCTGAAACAAATCATGTAATAGCATTAAAATCTAGGGAGAGGAAAAAAAAAGGAACAGAAGCCGGTGCTCAAAAGATTGAAGGACGTGGACAAACGGACAGCAATAAAAATAACCCACAAATTTCCAAGAAAGCACGAGAACATGCAACTATAACCATTAAGAGCTTGGCAAGTAGAATTTTGGTTTCATAACTCTGCAGCATAGAAACGTTGAGCAAAAGTTTAATGGATAAAACCAATGTATTGTGAACACCTTTATTAAAATGCGTTGATCTAACATGATACATGGGATGAAAAACTGCAAGTTAAGACAATGTTCAATATGAGAAAACCATTGCCACTTGAGCAAAGTGAATCAAGAGGAGATTTGCAGAAGCTGCTCAATGGAGTTGATAGAGGTTACTCAGGTTGCAAATCTGAGAGCAAAAGGAGAGATTATGAGTAATATTATGCAGAGGTCAAAGCCAGGGAACAAAACTGATGCAATATACTGGTTTAAAAACAATTTAACATTTGAAACAGTGGGGGAAAACAGTGGATGTAAATGGCCTCCTATAACATTCTGAAACTCCGCAATGAGGTGCGTGTTAGAAGACACGCTGCTTACATTTCACAACAAACAACAAAAAAGAAAGATTAAATATTCCTGAACTTCAAAACATTTATGCTTTCACCAGCTGCTGAACTTTTGTACCTGTCTCACTTGTAATTTTAAGCTCCATTAAGAATGGCAGTCTGCAGTCGTCTAGGACATTTAGCTTACTTTCAGATCTTTAGTGTATAGGATGATCAATTTAGTGCTACAAAATTCTATGACCTCTTTCCTACCCTATTTTTATTTTATAAAAGTAACACTAATTCAGTTTGATACCAAATTAAAATTTTAATGCATGTCTGGATTCTAGATAATTACACATTTGAGCTGGTACCAGCAAAACAAGCATTGGGCATACAACTCATTTCCAAGCTTGCATTGTGTCCAAGCTCCAAGTTGGAGTGTTTCAAAAAGCTTGTCTACAAAGTATTTCAGTATTTTAAATAATACTGGAACCACTCCAGATTGAACTGTTGCCGATGTGACGCAATACTTGTCGATTACAAAGAACTTACTACATAGAAGCTGGTCGCGCCTGAAATGGTCTAAGCCTACTCTGAACAAACCACTTCGACTGCATCCAACCCAAATCAACACATTTGAACAAGGGAGAAAGAGCAAGTAAGAAGCAGCTAGATATGTATATTGCCACTTAGGAGTGTGGAATTGTCAGCTAAGTTTTGATAAAATACAATTTTTAAGAGAGAGGCTAAGTGACTTTTTAAATATCTATTATTATGCACTTCCACCACCCATTAACTCCCCAAACGTAGTCAAACACATCCATTCTTTTAAAGGCCTCTTATTTCACCCTTCATTTCAGGAGATTGAAATGTGCAATTGTTCCTCTATTTTCAGAGTGAAAAGAACGTACAGACCATTAATTATATTTCAATAACAGGAGACAGACAATGAATACAGTTTTGCCTTTTTTAATTAAGCATTTTAAGTCTATGGAAATAATCTTGTATAATTAAATTATATGTAAAGTTTTGTAAAAACATACATTATATGGTCTAAATAAGTCCTCATACAAAGACAGTCCTGAATCACATTGATCTAGGCTTTCACAGATATCAGATTGCTCATTCCGTTGAAGTAGGATATTTCCCGGTCACACATCATCTCAAAATGTAGAGGTCTTCTGCAGAAGTTACATTCAGCTGAGGAATGGGTCTTCAACTCCAAGCCAACATCTTTCCATGTTATCACTAGTTTTTCTGTTTATAAAACACGAGATATTACAACTTATTCAACTTCCGCAATAATTCCAAGCTGACCACTTAAGTTATTCCCGAAAAAAAAAACCCAAATAAATAACCAAAACCAAGGTAGTCAGTTTTTATTGTGACTATTTCAAAAGACAGTGGTAAAAGAATCAGATTCTCATGTCTAAAATCTCTAACTCATTGACAAGTGAAAATGTTACTAAAAAAATTAAACTATAGAATGAGCTTGTTTAGGGGAATAAGAAATTCAGATAAGTTTGGGGGAAGCGTATTTAAAAGTTCAATAAATTCTAATTTTACATTAGAATAGGCAATCAATTTGGACAAAAAAACAAAAAAATTATGAATGCACTTAAGCCCAGGCCACCAACTTCCAAGTTACACGATTGAGATAGAGATCATTAGGACTTTATCATCTCCTGCACTTAAACTGTATACTTATATTACAAGAACAGACCATTCAACAGAACTAGATTAGACACACCAGCAAACAATTAGTTACATTTGATCACCTAATTCCTAGAGCCACAAAGCAAAATTTGAAAAAAAAGTGTGTTAGATTTTGGGACTCAAGGTAAAATGGTGGCATGAAGAGATTAAATCTGACATATTCTGAATTCTGCCTGACAAGAAGCTAGAATGCGTACATTGTTAAAGTTAATGGGAGCCCAGGGTGCTTTACTGAGAAGGCACAAAAAAAGGTTCAGAGCTGCACAATATGGCAAGAGCATCCGTGTTCACTGTGGTCATTTCATTATGACTCCAGATCTCTCAGGGTGGTGTTAAGCATGCTTGGTTTTAGAAAAGGGTTTTACGGAATTTGGCAGCAAAGGCAGCCATTCAGCCCACTGTGTCTGCATTAGTTCTATTACCTAGTGCCAAAATCCTGCATTTTCCCCATATCCTTGTATACCATTATACTTTAAACTACCCATGTAATTTTAAAAGGTAAATTGAGGTGCAGGTCTAGTGGATAGCTAATTAGCATATCCACCTGGATACAAGGTCAATGTGATTCACTTCACCATAGTGACATATTTTAGGAAGGGAAAGATCAGTCTGCAAGAACCTGCTAGAAACAGAGGTAGCCAGTCCTGTACCTGAAGCAGAAAAAACTGATTTTATTATTCATCATGAAGGAAGCACCTGGAAACTCACGTTCAGATTCAAGATACTAGCTTTGTAAAGATTCAAACAAGACTGTAAAATTAGATATCAGGAAGAATCACCAAGTGAAGCCCCATCACAAAAGGCAGTCCTGATATCAAGTTATTTGGTAGGGAAGGGAAAACAGAAGATAACCATTAAGAGAGCACAATAGCTTTGAACAGGCTCTTATGGCATAAAACGGGTGCATTTCTATTTCTAAACTAATGATTTCAAAATGTTCCAGCAAATCCCTTTCCTCAGTCATTAGTAACACTTGCTGGCACTGACGTCCCATCACCAAAGCTCTGATCAAAGGAAGAACAAAGTTTTCTAGTTTGGTATAGACCAAACAAGATTGCCACCACTCTTGGAAGCCTATCAAATAGCTGGACTAGTTGCCCGAGAAACAAACTACTGTGGACTCATTTCCAGCACTCATAAAACTGCAACAATGATGATTGGCTTGCTCAAATAGTTTTAAATCTAGAGCACTATCCTCCCTAAATTGCTTTAGATCATTGATGTGAGGACTACTTACCAACAAAATGATTCATCATCTCAGGGGTGTGATGGGGGGTTGGGGCAATACGCAAGAGCTCCTCCCCACGTGCAACAGTGGGGTAATTGATAGCTTGGACGTAAATGTTGTATTTACTTAGCAGTTCATCACAGAGCTGAGTATTTTTAGCTGCATCTGCAACCTAGAAATGCAAGCATACACAAGAATCAAGGAATGTCTTCATGGACTCTTCAAGCTCATCACCATTTTGTCCAATTTCCATTGCACATACGGGCAAAAAGATAAAAAGTATCAAAGGTAGCAGTTATATTTATGTCCCATCCAATTTCATTTCCAATTCCTCACGTCTTACCACAAACTTGTCAGATAGCACTGAAGTTAACATGCCTCTAAAATTTATACCAATGCAACACAGGTGAATTTGGAAAAAGAAAAATCAACAATTGTATATATGAATCAATTTTTCTTGTACATTTATTGCAGAATGATCAACGCAATACTGCACAACTGCTTTTTTTTTTAAAAAACATGTTGCAAAATTACTATTTTAAATGAGACAACAGGAATTTGTTTCATAATTAGTGAAGAATGCCTCAGGAGAGAGAAGCAGATGGAGTAAGGAAACACAGGACACTAAAGAAAAATATTGAATAAACAGGAATATTTTGATTCAACACGTACTCTGACTGGAATGATATGACTGGGACAGTGAACCACAGGTAAACCAGCATCCATGAGTAACTGCCGCATGTGTTTAACATTGCGTTGATGTCTGCGGCGCAGTGCTCGACCATCACCACTTTTCAGGAATTGGACAGACTGCAAAGCACCAGAAAGCAACATAGGCGGTAATGAGGTAGTGAAGATGAAGCCAGCAGCATATGACCTCACAGTATCTATAAGAGATGCAGTACTGGCTATGTAGCCTCCAACACATCCGAATGCTTTTCCTGCAATTAAAAAAAAGCTACATGTCATTCCAGTAGCATTAATTCATGAGACAAATAACTAAATAGCTCGAGCGAGGACGAAACTGACTGACAGACAGACAGACAGAGACACACACACCATTCAGCCCACCAAGCCTGCGCCATGTGGTTTCTATCACTGTTGCCTCCCATTCACATGTCTATCAAGATAGACCTTAAATATTGCTAGTGCACCTGCTTCCA